TAGAAATTTTGTGTTTGGGCATTTCGGTTCGCTCAAGACTATGGTCCGATAGATTTAATTTCGCTCAGATTTAATTTCGTCGTGGGAAGAGTGCAAAGCTGATTGACGTCATCATGAGTAATGCGAGTTTTTTGTCGTTCGTTTATCAACTTTGGCGCCGTCTGGACCGAGAATAGGAGCGGATGTAGCACCGAGCCGTCAAGAGATAAGGAGTTTTCACGTCATCAGCAGAAAACCGTGAGATCAGTTTAGTCAGCAGTTCCTTGAGGTTGACGACGAAGTTAGAGTGGGTTAAGTCTTCTTTATCTGAACCAATGGGAGAATTTCTAGCGGGAGCCATTTTTGTTTTATGGTAATTTGGGTGTGGTTTTTTCATTTCAATTCTGAAGAAGGGGATCGTTTTTGGGGAGACTCGCGGTTAGTACGTTGAGGGGTCGACACGTACCTTGAGCGATCGTTTTGGGGAGACTCGCGTTTAGTACGTCAAGCGGTCAACACGTACCTTGAGCGATCGTTTTGGTACACTTGGCGGTTTGAGCCACCGGCTTATTTCGGTTGCTCGCAGTTGCGTGCTTTTTGCACCCGTTTCGAAGTGTTATTTTCTTTTCGCGTTGATTTTTTGGCGAAGAAGACCCAGGTTCCAATCAGGTGATATTTTGGCGAACCCTTGAGCTTCACCCCAGTTTACTTTGGATGCAGTGAATCGCGTTAGGATACGTTGTGATTTCTCGAGGATATATAAGTCAAAGTGCTGCCCTAGTCCTCAAGGCGCAGAATTTCGGGATCCGCCCCAGGTGGAATTTCCTACTAGTGCCGTACGGTCATTTGTCGAAGGAGCGCTGCGTTTCGGAGAGATATTTGCCCCAAGAAGAGCTGGTGAAATAATACGTCGAACCATCGCGGTTTACCGTCGGATAGTGATCATAAAAGTTTGTGTTCTGCCGTACCGCTAACTCAAAAATCCGTCTCCCGCAGGCGGTCAAAGCTAATAAACTAATAAAATAAAATTTAATACACGTGCTGTGTAGAAACTTTGGCAACTAGCCGTCTCCCACTCGCCACGCGAAGGATTTCCTGGACTAAGTTTCCGTTCAAACACTAAACTTTGCTTTCGTTCCGAGGAAGGATATGCACCGTGGATTTTTGTTTCCGTGTGTTAAATTCAAGCCACCCCCTAGGAAGTCACAGAGACCTAAGTGTCAGGTTTCATCCCATCCACCCTGTACCAGAGGAAAGAGCAGTTCACAAGATCGGCTGTACAAATGTTGTAAAGGTTAGTCTAATTAAATTTGTAACGTTCTGTAAAATTCCACTTTTTGGTAATTAAGCTATAGAAAAAAAATTTTTGAGTTGATTGTTTATTAAAGTCCAATGAACGATTACCAAAGAGTAGGATAAATTTTTGGGTTTATTTAAATAAGTCCCAGCCCATGCTGGATTAAAAACCGATTACCTGTTGTTGCAATTTTCAAACTGTAGAGGATGGCCACCCCTTGAGTAAATTAGTCTCACCTGTTAGGATTTTTTTATTTAGTTTAGTTGTCATTGTTAAGCTAGTGTTTTTACAAGGAGAAGAGAAGAACTGCTAGATCCCTGTAAGTTGTTTGTATCGCTAATCTCATTTCAATATATTATCTATTTGGTTTCAATGTGCCTGTCTTTAACGAAGAACGAGGGGAAGGAAAGGGAGGAGTAGGAGTTGAGGCAGGAGACTGGTAGGCGGCAGGTTAAGGTTTGTTACGCAGTTTCAAAAGAGTTAAAAGCCCACCGATTTGAGTTAGCCGGAGCATTTATTTTTATCGATTGAGCAGCCTAAGAAGAAGACGGTTTGCCTTGCCGGGCGGAACCGATGGTAATCTTCAAATCCAGAAGGAACCCCCGTAGCACAAGTTATTCAATTTTTTTTTTAATTTTTCACGTTTGGCTGCTTTTCTTTTCAGCCCTGTACGTACATGTCCTGAATTTCAAAAAATCTTTCAAAATCTCAAAATCAACAATACTGACTTGATGCTACATGAGAATGATTAATATTTTGATCGCGATCGAGTTAAATACGAATTCCCATGTAAACAAAAATTTCAAAGGTGACTCGACGGTCACTCATTTTTGATCGCTATGTATATTGAACACTATAGGAGTAGTTAAAGGCTTCGGACGGACGGACAGAGACAGTTGCTGCAGTAGCGCACCCAATTTCGTTGTAAAATGCGCTAAAAAGTAAATTATGTTGTGTCTCTTGGTCGAATTCGAGCATGGAAGCATTGTAGCATTGAATTTATAACTATCCAATGATTGTAGGCCCACTTGAAAATAAAATGAATAAATAGAATGGAAATTAATGAGAATCAATTAGTATAAAATAATCATTAGCCATAAATAAAGAACTAAATCGACACACAGTTACCCTGTATTGGCAATATGATTAAGTGTCAATAAATAATAACATAAAACGGGAGTAAATTAAGGTGGATTTTTAAATATTTCAAGCTGCTATTCGAATGCTAAATTGCATAATGATCATCCGGGACGGTTAACTAATAGCCCTTTTCTGTTTATTGATAACGAATTGGGCGTAGCACATTGTATATTGATTACAGGGTGCCATTATATAAGCGACTCACGCTATATCAATTGAATCTTGTCAACGATGAAAGATCATAAGTACTTTCGTACAAACAAACTTTTTTTAAGTTGGTGGCATTTCTCTGGGAGAAAAGGAAGGTTTTACTCACAAGAGCATTGTTGTAGTTTCTGTTTTCATTGTATATCCTATTATTTCTGCTGTCAATTTATTAACGATCCTCAAATCCTTTATAGTTTTGTGTTGTCGTCCGTCCGTCCGTCTGCCGTCCGTCTGTCTGTTCGTGTGCGCTACAACTCTTTTTAAAAGTGACCGATTGTGTTGAAATTTGGTGTACCGGTACTTTGGACATTAAGGACGGGCGCTATTGATTTTCGGGAAGCTGGTTCAACAGAAAGAAAAGTTGTAGGATTTTGAGCGAATCGGGAACAGGAAAAACTGCGCGCTCAATATAATAGGAATCAAAATATTTCATTCCCTAGGTCATGTATCGAGTTTGAGGTCACATGAATTTTGATCAAAATATGTCAAAATCGTTATTTATGCACCAAGATCGTTGGGAAAAAGACTAGGGGCTTTATTTCAATGCCCAAGATATGAATTTGATGCATCTTTGGCGACCACGTGGATTTTGATCAAACCATGTCAAAATCGTTATTTATGCACCAAGATCGTTGGGAAAAAGACTAAGAGCATTATCTCAATGATCAAGACATGAATTTGATCTATTTCTGGCGACCACATGGATTTTGATCAAACCATGTCAAAATCGTTATTTATGCACCAAGATCGTTGGGAAAAAGACCAAGAGTATTATCTCAATGACCAAGACATGAATTTGATTTATTTTTGTTAACTATAAAATGTATTTTGTAAGATTGAAATAAATTGTCGTTAAAAGTGATTGTAATACTGAGGATCTTTCGATATTTCGTTGTATTGGTTTATTGAGCAAAGATTTTAACGAGTCCGCTAATGACTGGTTCTACACCCTCGTGACTGTAATGGGTAAGTATATAAAATATTTATCTCCCACTTTTGTATCATTTCAGCACATGTACCATCGACTATCCTGTAAGTTCAGACTGCAATTTATCACTTTTGTGATTATCCACCCTTATGGTTAGGGAACAAACCTTTACAACTAAAATATGATATGCTCTGTATATAACCAATCGACCGTTCTGCGCAGATGTCGAACACTAGGGGATTTTCATAACGAAGCTAGGGAAAAAGAGCGTGGCAGAATGAAGAAGATGGCGACGGAGTCGATGGAGAGCATCACGCTTTCCTAGGTTTTTCTTCTTGAGTATTTAGTTTGTTGTGGTGTTTTGAAGGAGTATTTACAGGTAGTAACTAACTATTAATCATTGAATTTCTCGTTACAATATATTATTTACATTTTGCTGATTTTGCATAAAATGCTGATATCTAAATATGGCTTACTCCATGCTTTTGTTTTCTAGCACCGTTATCTGAATCATGTTTATCGTTTGTTATACTGTACAGGTTTTTTTCTGACGAGGAGTTGATTATCAGCGTGATGTTGCTCTGATCGATTCAATAGTAACTATTCCGTGAGGGAAGTACCGAATACAGTTTGACTGTTCGCTGTATTTGTTACTTTATTATTCGTGGCGCGCTGCAATTCTTGTGCGTTAGCTATACGAAAAGGGGGGCTCTTTTATTTGATGTGTCTGTGTGCGACTGGTTCAACCTTTCTCCGTGGAGTAGGTACCTAATACAGTTCGACCGTTCGCTGTGTCTGTTACCTGCTCGTCTCATGTAGGCTGCATTTCTATGTTTCGCAATATGAGAAGGGGTCCTCCAATTAACATTTCTTGTATTTAAAATATGTTTTGCTTGAGCGATGGTCGACTTCCACATGAATACTTGCTAGTGGCGTTCTCACATGTACTTTTCGTGTTAAATAAAATTATGTTAATCAAGGCTGGAGTAGAGCCACACCATTTTGATGTTTCCTATGTACATGCAATTTATTATTTTAAGAGTTGTGTTATCTCAATTGATTGTACACATGTATTTTGATGTGTTTTTGTACTACATTGATTTATCATGTTTTCCACTGCATTTATGACGTCTCGTGTGTTTTGATTTTATGAATTTGTTTAATTGCATTTGATTCGATTACCTGAGATTTATCATACAATTTGACATGTTTTATTTATGCGTACTTTCTCTTGCATTTCGTTACTATAGGTGATTTATTTCATGTATTTGTGTGGCCTATGCCGGGGTTTTTGTCCCGTAGAAGGTTTCCCTGGTATGGTCTTGTTGTGTGCGTAATATATTTATTTGTTCTTGTCATTTCTTACGCACAAAAGTAATGTCTTTTATTTAATTCCCTTCCCGATTATGTCTCACGTAATACCTATGTATATGTATTTTGTTGACATTATAAATGTAATAAAGTGTTGGTTTTATTTCCAAGTATCACACTTTTATATTAGTAATACGCATGCTACCGCCTTAATATCCTATCTGTTAGGTACGTTTAGTAGGTACCACATTTTAATTTCCGTTTAAATAGGAAATAATCCTCACAGGCGCCCCTGTTCCTCCTGCTAAAAGCATTGGCATAACATAGAGATGACAACCCTTCTCTGCAACACAAAGAAAATAATTTTGGAATTAGCTTAGTTGTAACTTACCAGGATAATCTTTTGGAATTTTAACATTTTCCAAACCGTATATTTGATTTTCAGCTAAGGTTTTATGAACCATTTTCGTGGTGGTTCCCCCTGGATCCACACTTGGAGTATCTAATCCCACGCCAACAACTTTGTTAGTATTAGCGATCCATTGAGCTGCCTCTGGCGACAACGCTGGAGGTAATTAGTGGAAATTACCTCAACATCAGGTGTTACAAATCTGCCTTACCTACCAGGAAATTTATACGATGCGGAGTTGTTCGCTCCCAAGTACTTTTCTCGATCGTTATAGAATTGTCCCCAGTTAAAGTACGCTAAAATAACAGAGTTGGGTGGTATAGGACCATGGCGCCGTTCCCATTCGATCAAATCCTCGGGTAAGAGACGAGAAGTGTGTCCAAGTTTCGCGGTTTTTTCAGATAAGTCAATTTTCACGCCTAAAATCTTTAATGTATAGTTTGTATTTACGCTAGGTCGGCAGAAGCACATTCTACTATTAAGCGCGACAAAGGTATTTCATCGACCTTCCACCCATTCTTGGCGAAATGGTAAGGCGCATCCAGATGGGTACCGCAATGTTCAGCTAATGCAAACTCCTTGGCCGCGTACCTTATAATCATAGTCAACGAATTGGAACGTTTGGGCGGATAACTCACCAATTACCATCTGGTTTATCGATAATAGTTTCTTTAGTAACTTCGTATTTTTGTCCATCGCCCCACGATATTGTGACATTATTAAATGGCCACGTTAAATCGATCAAGTTATTTGAATTTACTTGAAACAGATACGTTATAATTAAAAGCAAGCAAGTTGTCGCTTTCATACTTATCAATTGAATGGGTCGTATCTCGAATGATTATTGAGTAATTTCAATTTTATCAAATGTTTTTGTAATTACCTGATTGTAATAGTTGACCTTTTTAATTGGTGTTCACTGTTCCTGGAATTGTATATCGATTGTTTGTGCTGTTTATCTTGGAAAATTGACAAATGTGATACCTACTCGTAAAACAATATGATGAATTGATGACGAAACAAAAAAAATGCCGGAGCCAGCACAGATAGGTACCACCCGCGCGCCTGCGCATACGCCATTCTGATCTGTTCCAGCTCTATCAATTATGTCTAAGGATATGTGTACCAAATTTCGTTCCAATCGATTCAGGCGTTTATTCGGAAATGAGAGTACAGGCAGACAGACCGACATCATCAAAATATTGTTTGATTCGTGTTCCCAGTGCTTCAAAATGTATATTTCCGTGAAAAAGATGGAGGAAGGGAGCTTAGCTTTTTACCCCAATGCAATTCCTTACTAGGGTAGTAAAAATGTCGGAAAAATATTGTAACGGTTCTCAACTAGGGGACACAGTACCGTACGCAATGTGTATATTGTGAACTGTATTATTATTATTTATAATACCATTGAATTTATAAATTCAATGATAATACCTACTCGCCGACCTTTATAGGCAAGGATATGTATGTAGTATGTACCTAATTGCACAGCTCAATTAATTCGACCTCAGAACCCAACGAAAATTTGTAATGTCCAGGTAAGAGCTTGATATTTTGAGTTTCGTTAATTATCAAGGAGGTTTTGTTCTGCTTACTCGTAGATACCGTTAGGTAATTTTTTCGCCACTGAAGAATTGGATCTTGTTTTATTTTTTTTACCTAATTTTCAAGGTACTGTTTTGCGCGAACTATACCGAGAGTTCGTCGCAATTTAGTCGGCATAAACAACGAATTTTCGAACCAATTATATGTAACTACCCAGACACAAGCACTTAAACTTACAATAAAAGGAAAAGATCTGACAATTTCGTGTTGCGTCGCTTTCTGAAATTATAATATCAGAATGTATGTATCTAATTGCTGACGACTTCTTGAAAAACTGGCTACTTTACCCACAAAATGAGTGATGGAACAGTTATAATCAAAAGGCAACAGTATTGTAAATGGGAAGATATTGTTTCTTTATGGAACAATTATCGTTTACGAAATATAAATTTTTTATAAACAAATTGTAGCTTTCGGCAATTACGAGCATGTTTTCTACCTACTTTAGCGACCTTGTTGATTAAATTAAACTTAACTGGCAGTTCCTGAGTAGGCCAACACAAAAATAAAATGACGAAATGGAATGAAAATAACCGACACGCAGTTATCCAGTACTGACAATACGATTAACTGTTATTAGTAGTAATTTGGCCGTAGTGCATTATACATTGATTTTAGGATGTCATTATATAAGCGACTCACGCTACCTACATCAATTGAATCTTGTAAACGATGAAAGATGATAGTAAGTACTTTCGTACAGAAAGACTCTTTTTTAGAGTTGGTGGTATTGCTCTTGGGGGAAAGGAAGGATTTGTTTACATGATATATTCGAGAATTGTGGTAGTATCAGTTTTCATTGTATATCCTGTTATTTGTACTGTCGATTTATTGAGAAAATATTTTAACGAATCCGCTACTGACTGGTTCTGCACCCTCGTGTCCTTAATGGGTAAGTATTCAAAATACATATCATTCACTTTTCCACGTTTGAACAAATGTTGTAACGGGTAGTTACACATTTTAAAGTGATTAGTTTAAAATGTATCAAATATGATCAGTTCTACTATTCGAACTTACATTATGATTTTCGTAGGGATCAAATTTGGATTTGTAATGCTCTTTAACCCAGGAAATCTGATCTAATCAATCAATCTTATCATAGGAAGTCACCACTTAATCTGGTCACCGTAATAATTCACGATACCTCTTAGTCCGTATTAATTGAAAACGTCATCAAGCTCCAGAGATTTCTGCGAGGTGGAAAAATTACCCAAGGCAAAGGCAACGCTCTTTGGTAATTACAGCTCCTTTTTCCTTTTTTTTCACCATCGACGAAATTCGGTATAGATATTTTTAATGCGCGATAGGCGCTCTCCGAATAATTAGCGTGTACCGTAATAAATGCGAATCACATCAGACACGAGCTTTTTGCGGATCTCCCGTTCAATAACAAATCTGTATTACTTCCCGATTTGCTCTTTCTTCGTAACTTAACGCGCTGTTCTGTTAACCGATCAATTTCAAGTTTCAAGTGTTATTGATAACTTGAGCATAAAAACTGAACGCCATTATTCACTCGAACGCTACATCTAAACTGCAGCTCCTCGCCCGCTAATTATTTACTTTTTTAAGCCAACTATTCTCTTGCCATCACTAAAATCGCACCGACTAGGTGTCATAGGGCTCATTTGAAAGGGCTTGGTCCAAGGATTCCGTGCATACCTATATTTTTTGGTTTTGCGCATGCGCAGTGTAAAAAATTTGGTTTAACGCATGTGCAATGCTAACTTTTTTATTTATGAAGATATTTAAATGAAATTTTATATGTAAACACTACGAATATTAGTAAAATTAACGACATTTTCAAAATGTTGGTTTGTGCATGCTCAATGCCAACTTTCTTATTTATGAAAGCATTTAAATGAATTTTATACATAGGCATTTGAAATAAAGACAAATCTAACACCAGTTTTAACATTTGATTTTGCGCATGCGCAATGGCAACTTTCTTATTTATGAAAGCAGTTAAACGAAATATCATATGTAGGCACCTTGAAGAAATTAAAACTAATACCGGTTTCAAAATTACTGTTTACGCATGCTGTATGTTTTATTTATGATGGTATTCAATAAAATTTCTAATGTAGAAAATGCGCAATGCTATTTACGAAAGAATTTAAAAGCGTTTCATGAAGAGAATGGGACAGCATTAACTATTAGGAGGAAAATACGCTCTCGTCATTTATGTTTGCATAAAGAATTTTTAACTTGTTTCTTTTTGGTTCGCTATTTATGCTAAGCAAAACGGAACCAACGAAATTTCTGCGACCGACGTCCCCTATAAACCAATAGCAAACCCGCATTTACGTTATCTCGGTTCTGGAGAAGGGAGCCGGTGAAATTCCCGCGACACACTTCTATCACGACACAATCCCACACATTAAAATGGGCAGGTTTGTCGCGCCTCCTATTCATATAAAGCGGCACATACATATGCAATTTTACCCATACATATATAAAATCCAAAAAAATGTAAATCGAATCGAAATCGATTATTCGGAAAGAAAGTCAAACCCTCCAGTGCAAACTCGTATGGTTAGTCATTTTTGGTTTATTTTTAGTTCTATTTTGACAGGATTTTGTGCCTGTCTGGCGCCCACCATATACGGGTTTGCATTGGCTCAGGACTGTTTCCCTGGGAGAACCAACTTTTCCCTGGCTAGCCGGTCAATCCCGTTTCCGTCTCTTTGAACTACACTTGCTTTATCGCCAGTGATCGTTTCTAGTTCATTGAATGGCTAAGTTTCTGTTGGTTGACATTGCCTTTTTCCAAGTTCCCTCCAAAACATTAGAGTTGCGGTTTAAACTTCTTTTGCAATAAATAAAATTGTATATGACAAAAAAAAATTACTGGTAGATGAGGTAACGGGCGCGAAGTTAAAATTTTTCATTCTTATCCATTTAGAAGTTAGCATCGCATCTTACCTTATATGCAGCTGTAACTTCGGCTACGAATTTCAAACCCTTTTCGAACAAAAAAACGTCGAACCCTGGGGATGGTTAGGTATAACGTAATCTTTCAACACAAGCTTATGAAGTAGAATTTGGGATACCTACCTATACCTGCGAGTATATCTCGCCATGTCTTTATTTATTTTCATTTTATTTCACACTCACCATTCTGATGTGCAGTAGTGTGTGCACTGTATAAATGATTTGATAATTCAATGCATTTTCTTTCCGCATTGCAGATAGTACAATATTCATTATTGTATTTTTTATTCGAAGGAGTTTCGATAAAGCTTTAAGGACGTTTGAAAGGCCATCGTTTGATGCCAACGAATATCGCGGTGCATATGACGAAGAGAAGAAGATGTTGCGCGATTGGTTGGCTCTCTCAATAAAATTCGTAAGTAACAGTTAAGAAAATGACGCTTGATTTTAACCTCACCAATAAAAAATTGGGAGGTTATTGAAATCACTCCAAATTTCGATATTTAGATTTCACCGGATATGTACGTCGCATCAAGGTCCCAAAAAAATGCTTTTTAAAAAATGTGTGTGCTTACGGAATGATTCTTGGTAAACAAGATTTGTCTGAAATGTTGTATCAATGTTCCCTCTAATGGTCCTGAAAGCTGAGAAGATTTTGGTAAAGGATTGGAAAATTGGAAATGTCCTTTTGGCTATAATACTTACATTTATTAAATAAAGTATGAGCAACAAATTTTTGATTGGGAGTTTATAGTTCTTGATCAAGTCTCATTTCCTTAACTATGAGCAGAAACGATTCCATTGTACTTAAATAATCTTCCAGATTTACACTTTTACAATACCAGGTTTATTAGTTTGCGGTGGCCAAATCTTCCTCAGCCTTGCATGGAGAATTGTCAAATCCGACCCTAAGGATTGGTGGTTACCTTGGGGTTCGATGAGTCTAGTTAATGTGAAAGAAAGTCCAAACTTTGAACTTCTATGGTTCTACCAAAGTGCGGTCATTGCAATTTATTGCATCAATATAATACCAATGGTAATGGTTATTGTTGGAAGCTTAACTTTCCTGACGGTTCAACTGAAGATGCTTCAAAATTATTTGGGGAAAATTATCAATATGACCCAAAGCCGAACGGTGCAGGTATATCAATTGTTGTAGGTATATATGCTGCATTGTACAGTTCGATTAATTTTTAGTACGCTTCTAACAGCTGTGTACTATCGTGGAAATATTTAAACGAGTATTTGAATGATGTAGTTGAATATCACTCCATGGGGTTTTTCTGGCATTTTTTATTTATACCTTAAGTTTCTTGTGTGTGAACATATACAGAGCCTCCCTCGTAAATTGCCAGTGTGTGATTGATTTATTGATATCATTTTCAGTTAGCAGCAACTAATGTGGAAGTGCTCTTTATTGTAGTAGAATCGTTGATTGTTTATTTTCCCACCATAATCATCTGCTATTACGGTGAGGAACTGGCCCACAACAGTAAACAGGTAGGAGTCGTTGCGTACCAGATGGATTTCGTAGGCACCGATCTAAGATTTCAAAAGAGCTTAATCTTAATGATACAAAGACGCCAAGATACTTTGAAAATCAAAGCGGGACGAATGATCGGCGCTACAATGAACACTGCTGTTTGGGTAAACTTTTGACAAATTTTTCAATTAATGCACATCTCGTTCCAGATCATCCGGTCAGCTTTTTCCGCATACATGATGTTGCGAACTGTTAACACGTAAAATTACGATTATTACAACTGCACGTGCGCATTATCGTACTGAATTTTTGAAATAAGGACGTCAATCTAGAAAAATAGGGCATGATTGAACTACTGGTCTTAGAAGTTACAGCGCACTTTGGATTTTCAAAAACTAGATCACTTTTCCTTAGTTCCTTTAGTTACTCATTGACTGACTTTATAGTCTTTAGTAGTACAATACCTATGTATTATGGCCATTCTTCCCAAGCAAAACGCAATGAGACTATCGTCGTTTTTGTATCGTGTCCAATGAATGGAAAAATAGTGCGGAACGGTTTTTTGGCAGATTATAGGAATATCTGTAATAACGTATTGGTTTTATTTCCATGTACCTATCACACTTATATATCCTATCTGTTACGTTTAGTATAGGTACCACATTTTAATTTCCGTTTAAATAGGAAATAATCCTCACAGGTGCCCCTGTTCCTCCTGCTAAAAGCATTGGCATAACATAGAGCTGACAACCCTTCTCTGCAACACAAAGAAAATAATTTTGGAATCAGCTTATAGCTGTAACTTACCAGGATAATCTTTTGGAATTTTAACATTTTCCAAACCGTATATTTGATTTTCAGCTAAGATTTTATGAACCATATTCGTAGTGCTTCCGCCAGGATCTAAACCTGGCGTATCTAATCCCACGCCAACAACTTTCTTAGTATTAGCGATCCATTGAGCTGCCTCTGGCGACAACGCTGACGGTAAATAGTCGAAATTTACCTCAAGATCCAATATTACAAATCTGCCTTACCTACCAGGAAATTTATACGATGCGGAATTGTTCGCGCCCAAGTACTTTATTCGATCTTCATAGAATTGTCCCCAGTTAAAGTACGCTAAAATGACAGAATTCAATGGTATAGGACCATGGCGACGTTCCCACTCGATAATGTCCTCTGGTAAGAGACGAGAATTGTATCCAAGTTTCTCGGTTTTTTCCGATAAGTCAATTTTCACGCCTAAAACCTTTAATGTATAGTTTGGATTTGCGCTAGGTCGCCAAAAGCACATTTTACTATTAAACGCGATAATGGTATTTCATCGACCTTCCACCCATCCTTGGCGAAATGGTAAGGCGCATCTAGATGGGTTCCGCAATGTTCAGCTAATGCAAACTCCTTGGCACCGTACCTTATAATCGAACATAGGCAACAAATTGAAAGGTTGGGCGGATAACTCACCAATTACCATCTGGTTTATCGATAAAAGTTTCTTTAGTAACTTCGTATTTTTGTCCATCGCCCCACGATATTGTAACATTATTAAATGGCCACGTTAAATCTACCAAATGATTTGATATCTTTGAATTTACTTGAAACAAACACGTTAAAAGCAAACAAGTTGTCGTTTTCATATTTATCAATTGAATGGGTCGTATCTCGTATAATTAGAAGTAATTCCAGTTTATCGAATGTTTATGTAATTATTTCTGATAGTAATAGTTGATTTTTTAATTGGAGTTCCATGAATTTTATATCGTTCGCTTGTGCCGTGGTGTATCTATGTATGCATATGACGTTGGTTGGAAAAACTACCCAATGCATACCAGTTTGAAATTACTGAATAACACCAGTTTTGTGGGAAAATTTTAATGTAAAATGGTTTGAATGTATCAGCGTACTAGAAGAGTGCGTTACTTAACCTCTAGAAATCCGGTATACAACTCGTTACCGGTTTAAAGTAAATCCGATAAAGAATAGCGCGGTGTAAGAAACAACAAGAAGTTCAAAAAGAAAATAAAATTTTTCGAAAGTAAGGTATCAAAGATACTATTACTACACGAGACTATAATGATCCAAATACCAGCAATAAATGAATCATACTACTTGTAACTCGCAATAAACCTAATTAATTTGAAAGGGATCTTCTAGTTTGTTGGAAATTACTTTTTCTAGTCCAGTATGCAGCACAATCGTTTAATTGGATTCCATGACTCACTCCGAAAGGAGGCGCGAGAAACTTTTAACTTCACCTTGATCTCACACCTCATGATCATCATCAATTTTTGGACTTTATATGATGCGCAACCTTTGTACTTTGCACGGTGAGGAATAGACTTTGACCGGTAACCAGGCTTTGGACTTTGAACGACCGGCAAACTTTGGACTTCGAAATGTACCCGTTTTAGGTGGCCCCATAGAACATACATGCATCTTTATTAAAAATAAATAAAATGGCACAAGAGTAACGTAAATCCCTATGTCTGCTACTAAATAAATATCATTGTATATATGGTCCTGTTGGTTCCATAGACTGAGAAAAGAAACGTCATACTTGATCGATTCCCGCAACTATTTCGGATTACAAACTCAGTTCATTCCCAATATAATGTGTGCCACAATGGCCTAGTGGTTAGGTTACCCGGGTTACACCCGAACGGCTTGGGTCCAATTCTTTGGTACGAAAAAGTAATAAACTGACAGTTTATATACAAGGCTGAAACATAAATTTTAAGATGAACAAAAAATCTTTGTCCATAAAAATGTTTGGGGAGTACCTATTCGTATTGCAAAAATACTCATACTCGCAAACTCATTCTCTGGACTATCGTATAGGTACATACGAGGGTACTTACTATAAAAATATGAACGATTTATCATTATAATGCCTCTAAACTTTTTCAGCGGCTGTGTTACATCAAGTAAAAATGTATGTAGAAAAAATAGTGTCATCCAGTCTTTCTTTTGGGCCCACCTAAAATTATTCCTGCTTATAGATAGATTGTGATTGTGAAGTTAAATTTGGGAAATACTTGTAGAACCAACTTATCTTTTATTGATGTAGGACGTTTGACACTTTTTATACAAAATTATAATTAATGTATACAAAACAACCGAACAAAAATAGTATATTAAGATACAAGTGTATAATCAAGTCTTTAAAGCACGCGCAACGAGTTTAAGGGCACGACGCAAAGCGGAGTGCCTTTAACGTTGCAAGTGCTTTAAAGATCAATTATACACGTGTATCTTATAGTATTTTTTATTATACCTGCAGTATAATTTAAAAATAGGAAATACAATGATGTCATATTGACGTTATACTCGAATACATGTCTAATTAAGTGGGCTGGGTGTTCGTAATTTCACGATTGCCATGGAAAAGTCACTTGACGTTTGCTTATAAAAATCATCGTCTTTATGAATTAAACGATTTCCGTTGAAAAAGATAATACACCGTCCATTAAATCGCTTGTTGTAAAATCTAAACAAACGTTGGTAGGTGTAAAATCCAACTCCAGCAAAGCCTATTATAAAGAATATGAAAAGTTGTTTCCATGGATGAATAGGAAGTTACTTACGAATACAGTCTTAAATGCATCCATAATGCTAGCATATATGAAGGAAATGTCAAAGGTATTTACATCTTCTATATTTTGGTGCATTCATTCAAAACTTTAAAGCAATGCTGCGATTAAAAAGTGGAACAGATTTGGAAGTATTGTAAAGTATCTACGCCACTGTGTGCGCAGCTATTGCGCATGCTTGTAAAACAGTCAGGATGGTGTGTGGCTGGTGGTATAGAGTTGAGTATGATTTTATTCGATATATTATATTAATACATTTTGTGTAAATAAAGTATTGTGTTGTGTATCAATTTCTAATTCAATAATGAATACCGAGAAACCACTCGACTACGACACAATAAATTGGCGACGAGATAAACCTTTTAATACCATTTAATTCGATTTCAAACCTCAAATTTTAGAATCCTGGACAAAAATGGATGCTGCACAATTCCAACAGTTCATGCAGATGATGCAGAACATGATGCAACAATCGAAGACAATACCTTCAACTCCTGTTATCAATGTGGCCAATATTCCGCCTTTTGAAGTGTTCAATCCAAAACAAGAAGATTTCCGTCTTTATATAGAAAGGTTCGAAAATTACTTAAAAATGAAGGAACTGTATGCCGACAAGAAAAAAGCAGCACAAATGCTCGTTACATCAATTGGGAGTTCAAATTACAATACGTTAGCCGCTTTAGTCGCTCCACAAAAACCGACAGACATCGAATATGACAAATTAATCTCAATTTTGGGGAAACACCTGTCACCAGAACGCAATATGTTAGTTGCCCAACATTTGTTTCTATCCGAAGTGCAGTCTAATAAGCAATCGATTACCGAATATGTAGCTACACTTCAACAAAACTTAAGCGCATGTAAATTTCGATACAAATGTACGTGT